CCCCCCCAGCCGCGCGCCGAGTCCCGCCCCGCCCTCCAGGTGCTCTCGGGCGTCGCTTCCGTAAGTCTCGGGGTTCGCTTTGCCTTGTGTTGAACGTGTAATTCACAGACAATGAAACGCACTTTCTCCCAGCCCAGCTTGAGGTGAGTCTCCACAGGTGCACACACCCGAGTGGCCCCTCGAATCAAAGCACAGGACATTCCACCCACCCCCCAGAAAGCCCCCTCTGAAGTTAACTCCCGTCTCCTCCACAGGTTGCTGCAGACTTGCCTGTCCTAACGCCTCCTATCGACGATGTACCAGGAGTTTGGACTCTGGAGGCCTTTTCGCTCCAGTTACTGTCGCTGCGACTCATCCGTGCTGCTCCTTTGATTGTTGGGCAGCATCACAAGCGTTGACCCGTTCACCGGTTGATGGGCGTGTTGGTGATTTCCAGGTTAGGGCTGTTAAGAAACAGGCCGCCGTGAACACTCGTGGACGAGTGTCTGTGTGGAGGTCTGATCTTATCTCTCTTTGAATGGCCAGGGGTGAGGCAGGTGAAGTCTCAGGGCTTTTCTGGCCTCAGGAGGCTTTCTGGAAGGTTCTCTCCTCACCCGAGGGCCCACTTCTTTGGGCACCGGTCGTTTCTCTACGTTGAAGCTTCCCAGAACTGCCTACGCTAGCCAGAGTCTACCTGCTCTACCGTTTTTCAAGTAAGTGTCCCATGTTTTCATTCTAAATAATTACTTTAAAAATCTGAAATTTTAGCTTTTGAGAAAAGCTAAAGATTTCAAGTTAAATAAAAGTTGGAGCCCAACTGTATAGACGTCCAAACAATTGTTTTTTTTACTGTAGAAACTGAAAAACATTTTCAGCCCTCATTAGAACTAAAACAGCACTTTTGAAAATTAGCTGGCACTAAAAAGGCCTGAGAAGCCCAAATTACCCAAAACAGGGAAGAAAACAAACACACATATCCATTAAAAATAAAAATGAATTCATATTCAAGTTGAACAAAAAATCTGAACTTAAAGGTCATTTTGGCTAATTTTCTCAAAAAGATCAATTCAGTTTCCAGTGAGTCTCCAAATAAGGTTTGACTGCAAAACAGTATTTTAAATTTACTTTTAATAATGACGGTCTTCATCATATTTGCATTGGATTTACTTCTATATACATACTTCCAGGACCTTCCATCACTATCAAAATCCCATCATTACCTTGATTAAATGCACTCACACTAAAAAACTGTTTGTGAGATTCTTTTGCACAAAGCTGTGACAGTCTAACCCTTACTTGCCACTGCAAATACATGACTAAAGATCTACCAAAAACAACTGATGAAAGAAGAAAACCTATTTGCTACACTCTTAGAAAAGTAAACAGGCTCTCAGTGGATTCTTGGAGAGGTGACCCCAGGCTCCTTGAGTATAAGTGAAATTAAATCCCAGAACCTTATTACCTTAATTTAAGGCCGGGGATAGGGCTGGCAATAGTTGAATACTTATCTACACCAGGGTGTTTTTAACACTGTGATAATGAACCATCTAGATAAGGAAGTTAAATAACTGTATGTATAATCTAAAAGGCCATATAAGAAAAGGCAAGCCACACTATGGTTGGAACTCTACAGAAAAGATGCCTGGGGTGAGATTGGAATGAAATATAAAATGCACTGAAATAATGTTGATAGAAGAGAACGTAGGGCTGTGTAGGTGATGTTTCTCTCTACCTTTAAAAAATTTTTATATCATAGTTATATTTTTGATAGGAAAACAAATCATAAAGGCTTCAAGAATGACCATGTACTTTAAAGTTTAAATTAAAATAAATTTTTATTCAAAGCATCTTTTAAAATCACAGCATGTTTATTTTTATGCTGTTAACTCTGCCAAACTACAACTTAGCCAAATGAATCACAAAACACTACAAAAATTTGAATGTAAACCACATTTTTAAAACAAAAAGCAGTCATAACACACCTCAAATTTTGGATGCCAATGTTATTTTGTACAAGTATATAGCTTATATCAAGAAAAGTCACTTTAAGTGTTTCTAAAGTACATAGCTGTAATAATTTCTTAAACTGTCCCAATTATACAAATAAAAAATGTGAATATAACTATTATAGTTGATAAAAGCTGACTGGAGAAAAACAAAAACCTTCTTTTGAAGGCCTTCAATTTTATCATATGTAAATTGGTAAATGTTTGTTATTTTTTTAAATTCTTACTGCCCTTCCTTCTTTAGGTAAGTTTATCAAATTTAAATTTTTCAAGACTGATGAGTGTTGCTTTTTAGTTCATTTAAATCATTTTTAAAAGGAAAAATTCTAGAGGAAATGTTGAAACCTAAACCAAGAAAATTCAGTTGTTAAAGTCTCTCTTACCAGGGCTTATAAGTGCTCCAAGTTAAAATTCTATATACCAGATTACAAACAAAATTCTTAGACCATTACAGATATAAATTCTCATATTACAAAAAAAAAAAAAAAAAAAAAAAAAAAAAATTTGTAATTTACTGTACAGAGGAATTACATTTTTAAAGTATGTCCCCATCATACACATTATTTGTAACTATCATATCTTCTTACATACTTTCATTCCTCTTAAAAACATTTACATACTTCCCCTTCCCAGTGGCTACATATTTTAAACTATCTGTGTACTGCAACACATGGGGATTTTGGGATAAAGAAGCCTACATTCTAGATAATGTTTAAACTACACCTGTAGGGTACCACTTCAACTCAAAAGAGAAAAAAGGCACTAAAGAGCCAATATTTCCCTCTTATTACTGAGTTTTACTCCAATTAAGTAATCTATAAATTACCATGCTATGCATGTCATTTAGTTCTGCTTATAAGAAAAATCAAAATGATGCAGCTTTTTGCCTATATAAAGGAGGTGGACTGCTCAGCTCTTGATTTTTCTGTTCGTGCTTCAGAACATAAAGTGATGTTTATTTACTTCATCTACTTGGAAAAATGGTTTAAAACCACCACACAAGTTAACACACTTGCAGTTAAAACTATTCCAGAAGCCGACTTATTTGAGTAGCTAATATTTTCTGCAGTATTTCACTTATAGCTAAATTTAGTGAACACAAAACAGCTTGGCATGTTACTCTGAAGTAAAGCAAGAAGGTGGATTTATGCACTGAAAATATAAATATGGAGGCTTCTATTTGCTAATCATTCTAAACAAGCAGTACAATTAAAATTTAGTGTTTGCTAACAAAAAATCTAACATATTTCACTACACAACAACCCTGTAGATGTCCCTTTTATTAATAAAACTCCAAGTGCCAAATCTCATTACAGGGCCCATAATATATATATATTTTTTTTTTAAGAAAAGAAAGATCAATTACCATGTTACCTAGACTTTGCAAGATTAATCACTCAATTTCAGCAGATGAGAAATATGAAATGTGCAAAAGTTCCCAAGTGAACATGCTAGGGATGACAAGTGCTTTTCAAACTTAAACATTATACTGAATTGTAAAGCCCCATAAAGATAGAATAAGACTGATTTTACTCCAATTTTGAAAATTCTGAACTATCGTGCATCTTACCAAGATCCTCAAATATTTATTTTCTTCCAAGTCCATAACTTAGAACATTTTCCAAAATAGTTTCCCATTTCTCTAGCCTTATCGGGCACACTATTTTGCAGTTTAAAAATATATATCTTACACACCTATCTTATGCTTTCTTGCTTCAGTGTTTACAGTATTGGTAAACATACTCATATACATTGTTTAAAATGATCTTATAAATAATCTATTTCAACCTTCTTTGGCTATTTGTACCATCCTGTTTTTCATACAAGTGTCTTATTCAGAAAGTGCTTCCTGTGAGAACTGCTTCCAATGAATTCATTAAACTTGCAAAACCTAGCTTCCCACAATATGTAGTTTTCTACCCTGTACTGTGCAGTCCATATTTACAAAATATTTTAAGCTTTACATCAAATTCATTTCCATATAAAAAAAGTGCAATTCTCTCTCACCCCATATTCTGGGGCAATGACATTCTTCATAAATTTCTACAGAATAGCAGCCTATGATAAGCAAATAAGGTGCTTAGCTTATGCCCAGGGATCTACTTTTGAAGTACGCCGGGCAGTACTTCTGCACAGGGCAGGAGTCCGCATCCTGGCTACTGGCGGAGCGGCGCCCCAGTCAGGTTGGCCAGCTCTATGAGGGCCAGGGCTCCATGCAGGCGCTCGCGCTGCTCCTGCAGCCGGCGCTGGGCACCGCTCCTCTCATCGTCCTCCTCATCAGACTGAAGGTATTCCAGAGGGTCCTGCTGCTCCTGGTCGGCCTTCTGGGCCAGCTTGCCTTTCAAGGTGGGGGTGCGCTGCTCTCTCATTTCCCAATACCTACATGAAATGTGTATGCATTAGCTCTACAGTCGACATCAAATTCCCAAATATTCACTTTTCCTTTCAAAAAGTTCTTTACCACAGTGTTACTTTTATGTGTTTCAGTGTATAAAGTTATAAAGTGATTTCACATATACCACATATACTTCCCATTTACAGAGGGAAAAAAACTCAAGTTCAAAGGAGTTAAGAGACTTGCTCAGGTCTCTATAATAAAAAATTGGCAGATCTCATACTCAACTCTCTAATCACATGTTTTTGCCATTAAACTATCGCTGCCTTAAAGATCATATATGAAATGCACTAGAGTAAAATAGACATAGCAGAAAAAATATTTATTAGAAACCTAATTATCCTTTCCACAGAGGAACAGTAACCTCTGACAAGTTAACTGTGTAAAACAGTGAACCCACAAAATATGACAGTGATTAACATCTGTAACAGAGTTCATTCAAAAACTTAAGAACACCACCCTTATTCCATAAAATAGCCAACTGATAATTCACAAGAGAAAATGCAAATGTTCAAAATGACAGTACCACTGTGTACAAAAATGTTCACACAAACACTTGTATTTTAATGTTCATAGCAGCTCTATTTGTGATAGGTAGCCAAAACCCAGATGGCCATTGACAGGTGAATGAACTAACAAGTTGAGGTATATCCATGCAAAGGATTACTACTCAGCAACAAAAGGAATGAACTGTTGATACACTCAACAACACAGAGGTATCTCAAAATAATTATGTTAAAAGAAGCCAGACAAACAGGAGTACACACTGTATTTCTACACTTGTATAAAACTCTACAAAATGCAAACTGATTCATAGAGACCGCAGATCAGTGTTGTTCGGGGAGGAGGGGGCAGAAAGGGGCAGGATGAGTTGCAAAGGGGCATGAGGAAACTTGGAAGTGAGGCGTATGCTCACTGTGGTGATATACACATATGTCAAGATGTATCAAATTGCACACTTTAAATATGTACTGTCTATTGTATGTCAATTATGCCTCAACAAAGCTGTTTTTAAAATTACGTAGAAAAATAATACAACTACCAGATTTCAGGAAATCTAGACTACTCAAACTGGAAAAGTTGCACAGAGGTATAAAAAAGGAAATGCAAATAGTTCATATGATTTGAAGCATAACTAGAAAAGGAGAATGGCAAAAGGTAAGTTTAGCAAGTCAGCAGGGACCAGGTAATGAAGGGCTTTGAATGCCATAATAAAGGGTTTGCACTTTATACTGTGGATCATATTGGCATTTTAGAAAGATCCCTCTGGCAGCAGCACAGAAAATGGACTGAGAGGGTTCAAGTGACAGGCTGAGTTAGTAAGGAGGTAGAATGCATAACTTGGTCACTGAGCAGATGGGAGAAAGAGGATAAAGGTGAGGATGACCAATAAGTTTCTGGCTTGGGCAAAATTAGATTATGGGGCAGTGGGGGCCAACCAGGAGGAAGAGAGAGAAAGGAAATGACAGATATATTTAGTTCAAGGTGCTCAGAGACATCCCATCCGAATAGAACATTTCTATGGTAGTGCTAACAAATTTCCCTGGGCTTGAATAATCAAATAGTATTTTCAGTTTCCAGACAAAACATGGAGTTCACTCATTCAGGTATTTTTGGAGGCTCGTAAACTTTGCAAAGCCCTAGGGATACAGCAGTAAACAAGACAAATAGCCCTGCCCCTGTGTGGAGCTTGTGGTCCAGCCGGGAAGACAGTGAACAAACAAATGTGTGATGATGTTTTGAAAGGGAAAATATGGTGTATTATGGAAGCACCAAGTAAGTGGGTTCAGGCTTGCTTGCCTTGGGGGCATGATGAGCAGGTCAGGGAAGCCTTCCTGCAGTGATGTTTAGCCTGAGTAAGAAGGGGCCGGCCCGGAGGCGCACTGGATAGTGCGCCGCTTGGGAAGCGCGGCGGCGCTCCTGTCCGAGGGTTCGGATCCGGCGTACGGACCGGCTCCCGCCCACTGGCGGGGGCGGGGGGGGGGGGCGCGGGGGTGGGGCGGCCGCTTGGGAAGCGCGGCGGCGCTCCTGTCCGAGGGTTCGGATCCGGCGTACGGACCGGCTCCCGCCCACTGGCGGGGGCGGGGGGGGGGGGCGCGGGGGTGGGGCGGCCGCTTGGGAAGCGCGGCGGCGCTCCTGTCCGAGGGTTCGGATCCGGCGTACGGACCGGCTCCCGCCCACTGGCGGGGGCGGGGGGGGGGGGCGCGGGGGTGGGGCGGCCGCTTGGGAAGCGCGGCGGCGCTCCTGTCCGAGGGTTCGGATCCGGCGTACGGACCGGCTCCCGCCCACTGGCGGGGGCGGGGGGGGGGGGCGCGGGGGTGGGGCGGCCGCTTGGGAAGCGCGGCGGCGCTCCTGTCCGAGGGTTCGGATCCGGCGTACGGACCGGCTCCCGCTCACTGGCTGAGCGAGGCGCGGGAGCAACGCCGAGGCTTGCGATCCCGTTGCCGGTCCCCGGTCCGGTGGGGGGGCAAACAGGGGGGTTGGGATCCGTTGCCGGACAAGGAAAAAAAAAAAAAAAAAAAAAAAAAAAGAAATGAAGGCGAGCAAAGAGTGGCTCCATGAAGAGGGGAGCAAGCACTCGAGGCCAAGGGAGCAGCACACAGCCTGAAACAGTGACAGTGATGGCGAGAAACCAGCAGCCTACGTGGTGGGAAAGCTGCGTTACCAGAGGGAGGCCAACCTGCCCCAGCACAGCTAGGGGTTCTAGACTTTATCCAGGTGCAGAAGAAGCCAGTGAGACTGGGGAGAGGCACGGTCAGCTGCTGCTGGCTTGTATACAGTAGATGATCCTTAAAGTAAAATATCCTTAGAGAAAATTTCTATACTGGTCCCCTTGTTGCTATTAGAAAAAATTAAATTTGGTACTTTTTGGAACTTCACTTTAGAAGAACCTGTGATCTCCAGTCCTGCTATAATCAGCACATAGCTAACACTAATAGTCAGGTAAGGAAGATGAAGACGGGCTGCACTCATGATGAAATACACTACACGTAAAACATTCTTTCAAAATGCAAAACTCTTCCATTTAAAATAAGTCATGGTCTAAGCACTCAAACTAGTTATCATATTGTAGTTTTCTATCGCACCCAGATCTTAATTCCACTCATAACAATTCTGTAGGAAATAAAAGTCCATTCAGAATTATTTTATAAAATTTGTATAAAGGCAACTTATTTAAAGTGAGAGAACTGCCAAAGTGCCTAACATGAACCCGAGACCTGGACAGGTGTCTTCACAGCAGACTACAGAGAGCACCTTACTTTGCCAGCCACTCTGCAGCAGCCTTGTTGTCTGCAGCCTGATGCTTGCTGAGTGTGTCTGTGGGCTCCTCTCGCTTCAGCCTGGCATACGGGTGCTTCGGACAGTGGCGGTTTGCATGGGTGAATCTACTCAGGCAGCCTTCAAAACATGGAAGGAAACACTTGTCAGAATCTGGACATCTAGCAAGCAGACATATGGAAAATGTTCAGTTTCACTGGTACCCAAGGGAAGTAAATTAAGATGGTGAGATTTAGCATTCTGTAACCAAACAAGCCTAAGCCCAGTCTTATCAATCAATGGTAGTGAGGGGAGGGGAAGACGGTTCTGTCACATCTCCGTCTTTGCCATGTGTGTCCAACCCCATTGGAAAGTGACTTATTGGGCCGGGCCGGTGGCACACCCCTCCCGCCAAGGGTTTGGATCCCATATAGAGACCGGTCCGCTCACTGGTTGAGCGCGGTGCGGACGCGACACTGAGGGTTGCAATCCCGTTGCCGGTCGCCGTACGGGCGCGACACCGAGGGTTGTGATCCCGTTACCGGTCACGAAAAAAGACAAAAAGGAAAAAAAAAAAAAAAGAAAGTGACTTATTAGCACCAGTCATAAAATGTTTAAAACCTGGGCCGGCCCGGTGGCGCACTGGATAGTGCACCGCTTGGGAAGCGCGGCGGCGCTCCCGTCCGAGGGTTCGGATCCCACATACGGACCGGTTCCCGCTCACTGGCTGAGCAGGGCGCGGGAGCAACACCGAGGGTTGCAGTCCCGTTGCCGGTCCCCGGTCCAGTACGGGGGCAACACTGAGGGTTGCGATCCGTTGCCGGACATGGAAAAAAGACAAAAGACAAAAATAAAAATAAAAATAAATAAATAAATAAATAAATAAAACCTGACCCAGAAATTCCACTCTTAGAATCTGTCATAAGGAAACATTCCAAAAGATGAACAAAGCTGTAAGTGGGAGAATGTTCCCCTCAGCTTTGTTGGTAACAAGCAAATTTTGAAAACAAATTAAATATTCACTATCCAACACTGAGGTAATCAGTGTGCGTGTGTGTGTGTGTGTGTGTGTGTGTGTGTGTGTGTGCTTAAGCAAATTCACTAGATGAAAAATTTATACATTTGTAACATTTGTAACAATAATCAAGGAAACTACACAGCACTGAGACAGAACTGTACTAAATTTCAAATATAACTATATAAAAATGTGCATGAGAAAACATCTTTTAGAAATTGTGATGAGATTAAGAAAATCACTTAAGACAAGATAATAAGCTCTCTTTAGTTTAACAGTTAAAAAGTTTAAAACCAACGTAAAAGCCTACTCTAAAGGCTGTATTTATTTTCATAGATTTTTCTACTGCCTACAACAGAATACAGTATTTTTAATTGCCCTTTAAGGTTTTCACCTAAAATGACTGATTAAAAATCAATGACTTTTAATGATTTTCAATCAGTGACTGCCAATAAATTAAGTATGGATCACAATCATCAAGAAAGCTTAAGATGTTTTATAAAGTTTATATCAAAAATCTCTCCCCCCCAAAAATTCAGGTGAAAATATTTTAACTGTTAACTCACAACTAATTTTTCCATAAACTTAACTTCTAACACCATACCATTTTCTGAACAAACAAAAGGTTTCTCTCCGGTGTGAAGACGCTGATGCGTTTTGAGCTGTCCACTTTGAACAAAGGCTTTTCCACAGTCTGGATAGTCACACAGATAGGGTCTCTCACCTAAGTAGACAGATGTTATGGATTATATCTGAGACAATAAGGTGAGAAGAGGAAGGGGGTGGAGAGAGAATCAACCTTCATATAGGTCATGACTCCAGACAACAATGAAACATGTCCTCACAGCTCCTGCAGAGCCACAAATGGAAATGCTAATGGCAGCACTTGGATGGTATCAGCAGCTGTCTGTTAGGGATCCATATTTTCTTCAGGCCTTGTGCTTTCAGGTACCCAGGCTCAAGTCCTTGAAGTTATCAACTTCAGCTTATCCTGTAATTTTTATCCCCCATAATCCAAATCACTAGCGCTGGCTGATTCTTTATAATGTCTCCCATCCCTGCTTTCCCAACGCAACTTCCTCTGGCCAAACTGGCAGCCCCTCCCACCTTCAGAATGAACCCTCCTACCTGGCCTAGTCTCTCCTCCCGCACAGCACTTCCAGAGTAGCTAGCACAGAACTCTGTTTTTGTCATACCATTTATCCCCTAAACCATCCCAAACCCTATTACACTTCTTGGAAAACTAAAAATTGTCTGTTGGCTTTTAAGTGCTCCCCTATCTGTGCTTTATGCAATCCCACCAACCTTATTAGCTAGTGGGTTCGTGGTGCTGGGGGGCAGGGATTATCTTTACTTCCGTCCTGGAGAGTCATTCCAGCCAGGAGGCAATTCCTGGTCTTATTCTAATCCTGTAAAATCTTACCTTCTCTTCCCATTCAAGTCTTCCCAGTCCTGTATGCTCTTGGTGAAACTCTTCCTACCTCCCCCTTCCTCCAAATAATTGAACTTTGTATCCCTTTGTTAACTTAAGTGTCCTGTGTGGTTCATGTATCATGACAGTCTCCTTCTGCAAAGAGTCATAATACTTTATACTTGACTTAAATTCCTATAGACAAAGTAGTGGTAGACTCAGACAAAGTGCTCAAAAAATGTTCAATCACAATATTCTTTAATCAACAGTTATGCACTGGGTCTCCCAATATGACTCAAAGAACAATAACGAGTCCGCTCTAGATTCCTCATTATTTAGAGATACACTAAATGGTTGTGATAGTTGGATACAAGTTAATAAAACACAGGATTTAGGGGAATGATTTAAAATAGTAAAAGAAAAACTTTTTATAAAGCACATACTATTAGAACTTAACTCTCCCTTAGGGATGTTGGGTTCGGCGCAGTAGGCCAAGGCCTGGAAGTATCAGATGACACACAATGGATTAGTGGGGGTCACGACTGGAACTCATGGCTCTCCTCATGCCACGTGGTTTTGGATCTTACCTGTGCTGGCAATAAGTGCTCTAAAGCCTGTGAACCAGTTATTTGGGGGGGTATTTTCAGACTAATTAGATTACAAAAAATATAAAATTTCTCAAAATTAGGTTATTCAATTAAGAAATAGTTTTATTAATGGTATCTAAAGTCAAAATCTATAGCCACCTCAGTTTATAATGATTCTGAATCAAAACTTCATGCTTTTTCAAGGATTTAGCTAAGAAAACTACATTTTATCATATCAATAAAATATACCTTTTCAAAAACCAATAATAAGAAAAAAATAAGAAACAGGTAATGACCATAAACATAGTGAAGAAAAGAGGGACCAAAGGTTAAAAGCCCAAGTTCTAGACCAGTAGTGCCCAACTGAAATATAATGTGAACCACATTCCAGAAGCCATATTAGAAAAAGTAAAAGAAAAAGGAGAAATTAATTTTAATAATATATTTGTTTAACCCAGTTTATCTAAAATATTGTCATTTCAATGATCAGTAGTAAAAATTATTAATGAAATTGTGTACTCTCCTTCTTCCTGCTAAGTATATTTTCCACTTATTGCCCATCTCAGCTTAGATGAGTCATATTTCGAGTGCTCTAGAGCCACATGTGTGAGCAGCTGCTCTACTGGGCAATGCTGCTGTAGACTGAAGGGTATGAGAGATTGTCAGACAGAGGTAATTGATTTCTTGGCACCTCAGTTTCCTCATCTGTAAATTTTTAGATAAACTATTAAGTTTCTTCCTCTGGGGCCAGATGGAAGGGCCCACTATGAATTATTTTTTGGCTGTCCACATGGGATTTAAAATGCAAGTATAATTTCCATATACAAATAAAGATGTACAATACTCTTGGGATAGCTACCTACAATACATTTAATTTTGAAAAACCATAGTTCACTGTAGATTTGATGGTTAGGTCAAACACTGATGCTACACTGAGAACTCTAGAAATTTCATTAAAAACTTAACTACTACTGTTTATTATTTGGCCTACAAATGAATTTTAACAAATACATAAATAACTTAAGAGCATATCCAGTAACATTCAGGTACATAGAGAGTCGAACTAAATTTAGCAATAACATGACTGTGACATCTCAATTAATTACCGTGATAACTTCAGAAGTTACATGTTTATAAAACCTCTACTCCCCTTGGGCCGGCCCGGTGGCGCACTGCGCTAGTGCGCCGCTTGGGAAGCGCGGAGGCGCTCCCGCCGAGGGTTCGGATCCCACATACAGACCGGTTCCCGCTCACTGGCTGAGCGAGGCGCGGGGGCAACACCGAGGGTTGCGATCCCGTTGCCGGTCCCGGTCCGGTACGGGGGCGACACTGAGGGTTGCGATCCGTTGCCGGACACGGAAAAAGACAAAAAAAAAAAAAAAACCTCTACTCCCCACCGAAAAGAAACTGGCTACACAGTGCCTGTGTTAAAACTTCATAACCAATAGTGGTAATATGAAAAAATATATAAAGCAACTAAAAAGTTATTTTTTAGGCCCAAACATCAAATCAGCTTTCAGTTAAGTATTACTTCTGGCAGTCTCTAAAATTTGCTTAACTTACCTGTATGAGTCCTTTTGTGGGCCTGAAGCGATTTCTCCCGTGGAAACACCCTATTGCAGATGTTACAACGAATTCTGCTGGACGAATGCTCTCCTTCATTTATTAAATCCCGGACAGTATCTGCTCTGGGTCTACCACGTCGGATTCCATCCTGTTAATTAACAAATTTTATAAACAGTAATGTAATTCCTCGGATTCTACTCATTAAAGCAACATATCATAAAAGATCACTTTTAAAAATCTTTCTTGAGTGATATCAAAGAAAATGTCAAAGTAGGAAGGTCCAACAGCCCATCACTCCACAGGTGACTGAAAAAATCAAGCAAAAACTGCCAGGATCAGCTTTGTCCCAACTCTGGAAAATAGAGATTTGAAGCAACTCAGTGAGCACTAAATCAAGAACAAGTCAACTTAGAACAGTAGGAGAGTTTTGCAGCATTTTTACTTGCCCTTTCCCCCCAGCATCAGTCTTGAAGACAGTAGCCTGCATTCTCAGTACGGAAACCTCAGTCCCTGGCTCGAGAGGAAGCAGAATAGACCTCACTCTGAAAGAATTGTGTTTGTCTGTTTTGACCTGCCTGTGGGCCACCTGAAAAACTGACACATTGCTTAGCCTTTGTTTTGCCTAACTTGGAACTCTTTCAGGGCAGAAAAGTGGCTATTCAGAGGGCACAGCTCAAAAACCTGTAAGGCAAATAACCTCCTGCCACCAGAGGCAAAAGATTTCAGTTGAGGCAAACAGACATTCCAAAAGCCTGGAAGAAAAAGCTGGGAGAAAGTTTCTTTGGGGAATTACGGCACTGGAAAGTGCCTACATATACCAACAACAGAAATTTAGAAAGCCATGCATATGCGCAGGGCAGGAAGAATGCTCAGAAAAGACCTGAAAAGACCCTAAGCATTCACTTCTGGACGATTTAAGCTCAGCACAAGTAGGAAATGAAGGCTAAGGCAGAGTTATCAACAGCATGGCTAAGCACTGAAAGTGTGCCCCAACAGCAAGCCATTCTGCAAAGACTGAGGGAGGGTTTTCCCCCTTTCTTTTCTCTTTCTTTTTTTTCATTTTTTCGTGGGAAGGTTGGGGGGCTCCAGGTATTCAAGGAACTCTCACTCAATACACTAGCTGACCACATGCTAAAGAAACAGAAACTTTAGAGAACAAACACCACAAAGAATAGTTTATAAAAAATATTTTAGAAAAGTCACTAAACAACTACAACCCACAGCAAACAAAAACAAACTGAAAAGAAAGAGTCTGATTTCTGGAGTTACCACATTATAATATTCAAAACATCCAGTTTTCAACAAACTATTTCAAGCATACAAAGAAATAAAAAAGGGTGGTACATATACAGGAAAAATTAACAGAAAGAGACCGAGAAGAAATACAAAGACTTTAAATCACCTTAAAAATGCTAAACAAGGGCCGGCCCGGTGGCGCACTGGAGAGTGTGCCACCTGGGAGCGCGGAGGCGCTCCCGCCGAGGGTTCGGATCCCATGGAGAGACCGGTTCCCGCTCACTGGTTGAGTGCGGTGCGGGCACAACACCGAGGGTTGCGATCTCGTTGCCGGTCCCCGGTGCGGGCGCAACACCGAGGGTTGCAATCCCGTTACCGGTCAGTAAAAAAGACAAAAAGGAAAAAAAAATGCTAAATGAGCTAATGAAAACCATGGGCAAAGAATGAAAAGAAGCCAAGAGAACAATGTCTCAACAAACAGAATACCAATAAAGAGACAAAAATTATAGAAAGGAACAAACAGATATTCTGGAGCTGAAAAGTACAAAAACTGAAATGAAAAGAATTCACTAGAGAGTTTCAGTGACAGACCTGAATTGGCAGAAGAATCAGCAAACTCAAAGATAGGTCTGTTGAAATTATCTAGTCTGAACAACAGAAAGAGAAAGGAATGAAGAGAAATGTACAGAGCCTAAGACTAACCTGTGAGACACCATCAAGCATATCGATATACACATAATTGGAGTCCCAGAGGCAAGAGAGAAAAAAGCAGAATGTTTGAAGAAATAATGGCTGAAAACTTCCCAAATTTGATAAGACACAAATCTAAATATCCAAGATCACTGAACTTCAGGAAGAATAAGAGAGCCACACTGAGACACATTATAATCAAACTGTTGAAAGACAAAGAGAGAATCTTGAAAACAGCAAGAAAACGAATCATCATGTACAAGAGGTCCTCAATATGACTAGTAGCTGATTTCTCAGGAGAAACTACAGAAAGCAGCAGGATGACATGTTTAAGGTACTAAAGAAAACAATGTAATATTCTATATCCAGCAAAACTATCCTTCAAAAATGAAGAAATTAAGACATTCCCAGGTAAACAAAAGTTCATTGCTAGTAGACCTGCAATAAATGCTAAAGGGATTTCTTCAGAAAAAATGAAAGGATACTAGGCAGTACTTCAAAGCCATATAAATAAACACTGGTGAAGGTATCTACTTAGGTAAATACAAAAGCCAGAATCATTGTATTTTTGGTTTATAACTCCCTTTTTTCCCCTATATAAAAGACAAATGCCAAATGCATAAAACAGTAATTATAAATCCATGTTAATGGGATCATGATGTATAAAGATGTAATTTGTGACAACATCATCATAAAAGGAGACAGCTGTACAGGAGTAGAGTTTTTGTAGACTATTAAATTTAAGGTGTTACTAATTCAAAATAGATTATTATAAGTTTAAGAGGTTCATTGAAATTCTTAGGGTAATCACTAATAAGTTTTTAAAAAAGAAAATGAGAAAGAAATGAAAACTACCAAAAAATCAGTTAAACATGTAAGGCATTAATGAAGAAATTTAGAAACAAAATAAGTCTATGTCATAGGAAACAAATAACAAAATGGCAGAAGTCCTTCCCTATCAGTAATCACTTTAAATGTAAGTGGGTTAAACTCTCCAATTAAAAGGCAGAGATCAGTAAACAAACAAACAAACAAAAAAGCATGATCCATCTATATGCTGAGAGACTCACTTTAGATCCAAAAACACAAATAGGTTAAAAGTGAAAGGACAGAAAAAGGTATAACTGTTATAAATACACACCTACAGAGCCCCCAAAATATATGAAGCAAAAATTTGCAGAATTAAAGGGAGACATAGTTGAAAAATAGGTGGAAACTCCAGTACCCTACTTTCAATAATGGATAGGATAACTAGGGAAAATATCCACAAAGATACTCCCAACATAGACCATATGTTGGGCCACAAAACAAGACTCAATAAATCTTAAAAGACTGAAAGGATCCAAAGTATCTTCTCTAACCACATAGAATGAAACTATAAGTCAACAATAGAAGGAAAAGAGAAACAAATATGTGGAAATTAAACAACACAGTCTTAAATAGCCAATGGATCAGAGAAGAAATCACAAGGAAAAAAAAAAAAATAGTTTGACACAAATGAAAACATAACATACCAAAACTTATGGGATGCAGATCAGGAATTGGAAGACTTAACATTGATAAGATAGCAATATTACCCAAAGCACTCTTACAGATTCAATGCAATCTCTATTAAAATTCCAATGGCCTTTTTTTTTTTTCCAGAAATGGAAAAGGGGATTCTGAAATTCATATGAAGTTGCAGGAGGCTCCAAATAGTCAAAACAATATTGAAAAAGAACAAAGCAGGAGGACTCAAACTTCACAGTTTCAAAACTGGAAACTATGTTTAACTTGCTTACTATGAAGCAATGGTAATCAAGACAGTGTGGTACTAGCATAAGGAAAGATATACAGATCAATGAAATAGAATTGAGAGTACAGAAATAAACCCATATATATATAGCTGCTGTGGTTTGAATGTCCCCCCAAGCTCATGTTGGAACTTAACTTCAAATATGGTGGTGGAAGGTGGGGCCTTTAAGAGGTGATTGGATTATGAGGACTGTGCCCTCATGAATGGATTGATCCATTCATGGAGTAATGGGTTGATGGTTGTCATGGGCATGGTTCTGATGGCTTTACAATGAGAATGAGTGAGAAAGTTAGCTCTCTTGCTCAGCCCATTCTCCCTGTGTTCCCATGCAACTCTGTAGAGAGTTCCCACCCAGAAAGCCATCACCAGATGTGTTCTCTGAACCACGGACTTCCCAGCCTCCAAAACTGTGAGAAATTTCATTTTCTTACATATTACCCAGTTTCAGGTATTCTCTTATAAGCACAGAAAATGGACTAACACAATGGCCAACTGATTTTCAACAGGGCCCCAAGAACATTCAATGAGGAAAGAAGAGTCTCTTCAAGAAATGGTTCTGAGATAACTGGATTTCCACATGCAAAAGAATAAAAGTTGGGTCCCTACTTTACACCATA